CAGCCCGCAGTCCTTTTGTCCCCTGGAGACGGTGCAGAAGGTTGGTGCTCGCTACAGTGCCCCATCCTGGGGGACTGCAGGAGTTGGGCACAGATGGCTGAACTGCGGATGGTAAGGAGCCCCCGCCCCACTTGGCATTGAAAGGCAGCAGGAAAATAGGAATTATTTCCCCTCAAAACAAACAAACAAACAAACAAACAAAAAACACTAACAACCTCCCTACCAGTGGTTTGTGAAAACCTTATTAAAATTCCGTGCCAAGCGCTGGCAAGAAAAAAAGTCAGGAAGAGTCCAGGAGAGAATGGGGAGGAGGGAGGGTGCCCGCGTGTGGGCAACTGCTGGGGGTGTCTGAGCATGGAGGGATGGGGTAGGGGCCAGGCAGGAGATGAGAGGATGAGGAGGAGAAGAAGGGTGCAGGGGACTCTCTGGGCACTCTCCATGCTCCTTTAGCAGAGGTGGTACCAGGGCTGTAGTAGGACCAGAGCTGGCTTTGCCAGCAAGCGGGTGGCCAAGTCAGGGTCTAAACCCCTGTCTCATGGGCACTGCAGTTTCCATCCTTGGTGAGTGTCAGAATCTCAGTCCTTTCCCATCTCTCTAACTGCACTGCATGCTCAGCGCAGGGCAAGCAGCTGAGGGCCAGGCTCTCCTTCGTAGTGCTCGGAGGGGGTTATTGACAGGCCTGGTGATTGTTTATCTTCACGACCTGGGCCAGAGGCTAGCTGCAGGCCAGAATCTGTCTCTCAAAGAAGCCAGAGAGGGAAGAGCACCACCAGGGGATGTGTATGTGTGTGTGTGTGTGTGTGGTGAGGGGGGGAGGGGGAGGGAGTATGATTTCTACCCAGGGGCTGAGAGAAGACCATTTCTCCAGAATACTGTTGCCTGGGCTGATTCCAGAACACACGGAAGGAAGCCAGTGGACAGTGCCGTTCTCTGTAGGAGTCCCACATCCTCATCCACATCTGGGGCCAGCACCAGGCCCCTGGGACCCTCCCCTTTCGTGCACTGCAGATAGGGATCATTTCACACAGGCGGCAAAAGCCTGTCCCTGGCCCCTGCAGGGAGGCACCAACTCTAGGGTTGTTATTCCTGGCTTTCTTGGGGTCTTGATGCTCATGGCATCATGAGCCCTCCCTTTGGGTCAGGTTTGAAGGGTTCATCTGTCCCAGACAGCACCTCTCCCCCCACCCCTCCCATCCCCGCCCACTCCACCAGCAAAAGCTTAGCAGATACCACCAGTTCTTGCCCAGATATTCCATAGTGGCCTTAAGTCTGCTGCCGAGTTCGCACCATCCACGGAATGGATTCCAGCGAAACCCCTTCTCTACCACTAAGTTTATAACACATCCCCACCTACTGGTCTTAAACATTAACAAGGTTGCACTGTGATGCAGGCCTCCCTGCGGCCAGGAGGAAGATGGGTGAGTGAAGGGGAGCTTGCAAATGCAAGAATGCAAGTGGACTGGGGTTGGGTTGGCGAGGGGTGGGATGGGTGGTGGAGGGCACGTGGACACGACCTGCAGGAGAAACTGGAAGCTGGGGCCATGGTGGTGTTGGGGGTGGGGTGGGGGGGAGGTTCTTGCCTCTGAGATCAGGCCTCCGACCTGCTCATCTCCTGTCAAACATGCTCCCCCAGGGGCACGTACCCCAGAGGCGCCACCCAGAGGGTGAGCACGGCCCTGCCCTGGCCCTCTTCCCCCTGCACCCTCTTCTTTCCTCCGCCTCTGCTTTTTTACCCCAACACCCAAAGCTCCGTTATAATACACGCGGGCATTCCTCTTAGCCCCACAGAGTCTTCCTACTCCATTCATGTCTTCTGAGTATACCTACTTGGGGCCAAAGCGGAAAGGGGGAGAGGAAAAGTCACCAAATCATGAGCCCTCCCCTAAACAAAAATATGCAGGAGAGCAGCAGGAAGGCCCCACGTGTCAACAGAACTTCCATCCTTCACATAACCCCCCCCCACCCACCCACCTACTCCGTGGCCTGTGAGGAGTGCTGGCAAGGCAGCATGAAAGGTCATGGTCGCACTGGGGAAAAAAAAAAAGATCAGTGACTAGTGCTAGGGTGTGGGGGTGGCTGGTGAGAAGCCAGGGTGTAATCTAGGTAAACTCCCTGGAGGTGGGGGGTGTTGGTGCCAGGCTTGAAAGGCTAGGGAAGGATATCTCGAGCCAAGGTACTCCAGATGGAGGAGCTGCCAAAGCAGAACAGCGGAGGTGAGAAGAGCAACACCTCCCCTAGCTCTCGGAGGATGGAGGGTAGGCAGATCCAGGGATGTGAATGGAGATCTGGACTGAGAGAGGAGAAAGGACGGCCGGAGCCATGGGCTAGGCAGCAACAGACGCATGCATCTGAAATGCAGTGTGTCGGCGAAGGTTTCCGAGCTGCGGGGAGATGAAAACAGCTCCCCCAGAAGATTTAACTGCCCCCCCTGCCTTCTGAAACCCAGGGGAGCAGGAAGGCTCCCCGAAGATCAGCAGCAAGAGAAGGGCCTTGGAGGCTGGTCAAGGGGAGGAGGTGGGGGAAGAGGCCTTGCAGGAGAAGGGTGGAGACTGACCGCAGCCACGTTGGGCCCTGAGCGGTGTCTGGGCACTGCTCACCCCTGGCTCTGCCCCAGAGTCCTGGCAGGCATGGAGATGGGGAGGGATGCGCCAGAGGTCACGGGGCTTGTCGAAGATGGGGAACCCGAGGGAGCCCGTCCAAGGTCATCCTGCCCAGCGCCAGTCGGAGAGAAGCCCAGGCTCCTTGGCTCTCAGACTGGCTGTGTGGGCAGAGCGAGGTAGGCACCTGCCAGGCACAAACCTGCAGCGCCCCACCCCCGCCCCAAGCACCTTTAAAGAGCCCACAAATCACCAACCAAGAGTTGGCTTGAAGGGACACTCACTCCATGTGACCCATCCTGCTAGAGGGAGGGATGGGTGTGTGGGAAGGCCCCGGGGGAGATGGGGGTTTTGGTGGACATCTTCCTCTGACTCTGGCCTTACCCATCGCCCCCTTCCCCACCAGCTCAGAGCATCTGAGGAAGGACAGACTGAGGCATGGCATGGGATGGTGAAGTGGCTTCAGACTCAAAGAGAACCCAAAAGTTTATCTGGAGGGGAAGCTTCCAGCTTAGACCCCCACTCCACCTGCTCTGTGCTCTGCCAACAGGGCGAGTGAGCACTGTGCTAGGTGCTTGTGGATCATGGGTAAAGAAGATATGCCCAGCTCTGCCACGACCCCTCTCTGCCCAGGGCAGGGGCAAGTCAAAGCCCTCAATCCACCCCTCCACCCCCCCAGGCAGAGCCTTAAGAGGCAGACAGGGTTCTGGCATTGGGCTGGCACGGGGGGGGGGGGGCAGGGAGGGGCCATGGGACCTGGCAGCAAGGCCTGTGCTGTCCAGAGGTGAGTTGTGGGCTTGGGAAGGGACCACACAGAGGAAGACCATGCCTGCTTCTCCCTCCAGCTCCTGGCCCAAACCCCTGCTCTCCAGAGCCAACCCCAGGGCAGTCCTGGGGCTCCCCAACACCTGCCCATGTCCCTTCTTGCATATCCAGGTCCCAGCTGCACATGTGGTGCCCTCCCCCATGCCCTGCCCATTCTTCCGATAAAGAACTGAGGGTGGCGGCTGGATGAACAGAATGCAGAACTGAGCACACCCTAGTCTCCAGGGCCAGAGGAACCCACAGCAGTCCCAGCCCTGGGCTCAGGAACAGACTCCCCAGAAGGGCCCATGTCACCCCTGCACTCCACCTCCACAGCTGCCTTCCCCAGTTGCAGAAAGGTCGCTGGCTAAGAGACCCGGGGTGGGCTACAGGCGGGCTTGGGTATGTTCCTAGGGACTGGGCAAACGTGGGCAAAAGCTGAGCACGACACATCTTGGACACACAGAAGGTTCTGGTCAACGTGGGCAGCACACGGCTCCCTCCTGGTAGTCTAAGACTCACTCTCCCGGGAGGGTAATGAATGCTCCCGCCACCTCCCCTCTCTCCCCACAAAGGCGCACTAGGGGAATTGTGTCCCAGCTCTGCTGGCTTCTCCAGGTTCCCTCATCCTCTCTGCACCCCCGCGGTCGGTCAGCGCCCCTCTGGCCTCCTGGAGCGCCTCCAGCTTGCAAAAGGCCCTCCGCAGCCTCCTCCCGTCGTCGGTTCCGAGTTCCCACTCCGGGTGGTGGTGGTGGGGAGGACCGTTCCGAGATTTCCCCCCCCCCCCCGTGTCCCCACCCATGTCCCCGCTGCTGTCCCACTGTCGGAGCGCGCTGACGCCGGCCCCACCCTCTCCCACCCCCACCCCCCTTACCGCGGAGCCCCGGGCGAGCCTGGGGAGCAGACGCAACAGATTGCAGAAAGCAAGCGAGAGAGCGCCCAGCCCGCTCCCTCCGCGCGCCGCCCGCCGCCCCGGCCAGCTCCAGGCCCGGACGGACCCCCGCCCTCCCTCCCTGCGCGGCTAAGCCGGCCATTTAGATGCAGCTCACAGGACAGCGGCCGGCGAGCCGCCGCCGCCCCCCTCGCCCCCGCCACTCCACTTCCCTTCCCCTGGACCGCCGCAGGAAGCGGAGCGGCGGGCAGCGGCGCGGCCGCGCACCGGCCTGCGCTCCGGGGCCGGGGATTGGGGGGGGGGGGACCCTGCGATCCCCGAGGAGCCCCACAGAAACCCCCGTGCCCCCCAAACCCGACCGATGGAGCGGATCCCGCCGATCTCCCTAGATTTCCGTGGGCGGACACGCCCCCGGAGTCTCGGGTTTGGAGCCTCGGCGGCGAGAGACCTGGAGGGACCCCACCCGCCCACCCCACGCCCTTTCCCCCGGGCGCGGCTCGCAGCTCCGGCTCCCGTGGAAGGGCGTGGAGACTGGAGGGGACTGGAGCCGCAGCCCGGAATGCCCAGCTGCGAACGGAGGCGGCGGCCAGCCGGGCGGGGGTGGGTGTCCGGGGTGGGGTGGGGGGCGCCTTTCTTCGGCTCCTCCGCGCCCCCTCCAGCCGCGCCCGCCGCAAGCTTCGCTCCGGGGTCCGCGCCGCGACACTTACCGTGGGCGAGCAGCGCCGAGAGGCAGAGCAGGGCGGCGCCGCCGCGGCCCGGCATCCCCGGGGCCATGGCCGAGGCGCGAGCTCCCGGGAGGGGCAACTAGTCGCCGACGACTTGGCCCCGGCCGGGCTGGGTCACATCCAACTCCAGGTGGTCCTGGCGCCCGGCGGTCTCTGTGGATGCTCTCGGGGGGCGGGGGGCCAGGAGTGCAATTCGGGGACACTTTGAGGGGTGGGGGCGTCCCGGGCGCCTCCGGCTACACCCTCCAAGCGGCTGGGGGCGCAGCTGCGGGCGGGAGGAGCTTCCACCTCCCTGGGCTGGTGCCCCCTGCAGGATCTGCGTGGCGAGGGGGGAGCCGCACGTGCGGGGTCCCAGGCCCGGGGGGCCAGCGGGCTCTCTCGGAGGCTGCCTGGACAGCAAATGCGGGATCTGCTCGGCGCAGCCCGAATCCGAACTCGCCCGAAGCGTTCGGGTGTCCACGGCCGGTTCCGATCCCTTCGCTTTGGCCGGGGACCGCGCACGCAGCGCGCGGCTTGCTTCTCGCGAGCGCCCTGCAGCACTTCCAGCATCAGAACCCCAGATTAGGTGCCAGTGAACGTCGGCAAAGAAAGAGCAGCAGATCCGGGCAACTTTAATCCATCTGGAGAAGGAAAAGTTTCCGTGCGGTGCGGAACCCGGCGTCGCGGGCCGCCGCCACCCGGGGCGACGCCGGGACGCAAAGCCCGAGGAGGGCGGCCAGCGGCTAGTGCCCTCGGACAGCTCCCTCTCCGGCTCCAGCGCGCACGCCCCAGTCTAGACCAGGGTCGGCTTCTCCCAGGCCGGCTCCGCACCGCCCGCCTGGGCGGCGGGTCCGCGGCGAGGGACCGGGTGGGCTGACCCACGCGGACGGGGCTCGGAGGAGCGATGGGTCCAAACGGCGTGCGCAAAGCCGGCTAACGCGCCGGACCCGAGCCTTCCTTGGCCTCGGTCGGCGGCTCCGGCCTCCGGGCCATAACGTAGCAGGATGCAAAGGGATTCGGCCGGCCCCAGGCAGCTCCGGGCCACCCGCGTCTTCTCCCCGGTCTCGCGGTCTGGGCAGAGAGGGGCGCGCAGCTCCGCCTCGCTCTTCGCTTTCTTCCCCCCGGGACGATGGATCTGTACAAACCTTGAACTTTTCCCGGGATTCAGAGTCTCCGACGTCCCCTGCTCCCCGCCGCCCCAGCCCTGCCCCTGGACGCCCGCTGGCCCGCGGTCTCCGTGCAGCCGGGCATTGGCGCTTTGCTCCCCCCCACCCCACCCCGGAGTCAGTTGGGGCGAGCGGAGCGCCGCGGCAGCGAGGGTTGCGGGCGGCGAGACCCGGGCGCCACGCCAGGGGCCGGAGCACCCGGCGCCCGCGCAGCCCACGGCCAGCGAGGAGGCAGCTGGTGTCCACGGATCCGAGCGGAGAGGAGATGCCGGCTGAGGGGCCGGCTCTCCATGGACGTTGCGGGGTGGTGATGGGGGTGGGGGAACGAGGAATTAAGGAGCAGAAAAGGAAGAGGAGGTTGGGTAGGGGGGGCGCACAGTTGCACGAAGCAGCCGCCGCCGCCGCCGCCGCCGCCACCGCCTCCTCGGCGCTCTCGCCGGCTGCTCCGCCGTAAATGACTCGAGAGAGAGACACACACACACACACGCACACGCACACGCACACACACACGCACACACACACTAACGCTCGCCCGCCCTCCTCCCCCGTCCGGGATGCAGCGCCCACCCCGGCAGTAGCGGGCGCCGAGCCTGGCGCACTCGCTCCGGTCCCCTCCCTCCCCGAGTCCCTGTGGTCACGTGGCCCGGAGCGCGCAGCCCACGACTCGCGCGCCACGGAGAACAACCCCCCCCACCCCACCCCCCGCACCCCTTCCCGCTCCTCCTCGCCTGTCCACGTGTCCATTCCGCATTTCCAGCCTGGGGGCGCGCGCCGCTGCTTAATGAGACTCGGGCAAGGGCCGACCTCGCCAGTCCGCTCGCTCGGCCCTGGCTCGGGCTTGCTGCTCCCTGCTCGGTGCAGGCCAGCGCTGGGGCACAACTGGGGGTTGAGGGGGGAGTGGGGGCCGGCGAATGCGGCGGCGGCGTTTCTTCCCAGCTAGACGCCACCGCAGCCACCGAGGTTCCTTCTCAAAGGATGCACGCTCCCTGCCGGGGGGCCAGAGCTGTTTTACAGCCGCTCGTCAGAGGCGCGGGTAGGGGGCACCCTACCTCTACCCACCGAGCCTGCCCGGGGCTCTTGGGGACGGGCTGAGAAGCCACGGAGCTTGTGCGTCCAGCCCCTCTGCTCTATTTGGGTCTGGGTCAGGGGCACAGCTGGGGAAGTGTTTTGCGTGTGTGTGTGTGTGTGTGTGTGTGCGTGTGTGTGTGTGTGTGTGTGTGTGTGTAAAAACCTGGTGAGGGGGAAGATGAGGCAGCGAGTTGGGTGGGGGTGGGGGTACTTCCCACAGGTTGTTTTGCAAGCCTTTACATTAGATGGAAAGGTGGGAACTGTCCCTCTGGGCAATCACCTAGGCCCCTGAAAAGTGACAGAAGAGCTTTTCCGACCCTGCCTGTCCCTTTAGAGCACAACCCAGATCAAACCTGACAAGTCAACTGTCAGCCCCATCAATCACGGGATCAATGACAGTTATTTTATAGAACTGAGGGGTATCACGGCCGGCGGGCCAGGTCTGGAAATGTTCCTCCATTCTAGAGGGCAAGCTCCCCAATCCACAGACAGTTCTTATGGGTGGAGGAGGAATCAACCTGGATCTTAAGGGTCACCAGAAACCCAGAGGTAGGTCAGAGCAAGGCCAGTTGGGGACTCCGCCTCAGTTCCCCTTCTGCCTGACTCCATCGAGACCTCTAGACTGTGTGAATTTCCTTTTCGCGCAGGGAAGTGACATTTTCTTTTTGGAAAGTGGGTTTGAACAGTTCCTGGATGCCTTCCTCCCTGGCTGCAGGCTGTGGCTAGCTCAGCTTTCCTGGGGCCTGTGAAGGAGAAGAAGGACTCTTCCCCTTCCCGCGGCCCCCCCCCCCCCATCTGTGTGAAACTGAGGGACCTGCTAGCAGAGGACTGGCTAGCCTGGCTCCTCAGAACCCTGGGGATGGAAGGTGCTAGAGTCTTTAAGAAAGATGATTCTAATTAGGCCCCTAATGCCTGATGGCAATTAATGTCACCCAAGGGCTTATTAACCATCCTACTGAGAGGCCAGCCAGCCAATCAGGCGTTGTATGTGGGGAGTGGGGGAAAGAAGCCCCCTCCTGAGATAGGAAGAAGAGGAAGGAAGCAGGAGGTGGAAAACTAACCCACTTAGCCACCCCTGGCTACACAGAGAGGGCAGTTCCACCTACTGCCCAGTGCTCTGGACTGTGTAGAGTGGGTGTGGAATCTACCGGTCAGCCACAGCCCACTGTCCTGGTTTGGGGAGACTGAGCCAGAGTTAGGGTCTCCCTGTGTTCTTTCATATCACCAGCACCGAGGGGGTAGAAAATGAACCTTCCTTGGCTTCCTCAGTTTCCCCTCCTGCATCCTTCCCTCCAGTAGGTGAACTCCACAGACACCACTACCAAGGATGCCTATGGGGGTGCTGGCTTGTCCTCTAGAGCTTCCATTCCAGCAGGAAAGACAGACCCTAAGGGTAGGTTCATCACAGCTGTGATATGTCATGTGGCATCACACATGTTGCTCAGCTGAGCGAGAAGACCCAAGCCCAGGGGAGGAAGGTACAGTGGGGGCCACCCATGCTCTTTCTAGTGCACAGTATCAGCTCCACAGTTCCTGAAACTTTCTACTGGGAATCCAGGTGCCTGCTACCAGGTCAGCATGCCTGATTATCCTCAGGGCCTCCGAATGGTCTGTTTCTCCCTGTCTCAGAGAAACCCAGAACTGTGGACAGCCCACTAGGGAACAAGTGCCAAGGGTGCCCCTTGCACCCCTTGAGCCCGTTATGCTTGACAGTGCCAGTTCTGGGGCTCAGGAGAGAGCTGCTGGTCCAATGCCCATTATCTGGAAAGGGGATCAGTACCCCTCTCTCCTGACTGGTCTTTCCCATACCTCAGCCTTCAGGCCTGTTTAACAGTTCCCTACAGACCATACCAACTGAGTTAGGGACTCAGAGGAGGCAGCTCAGGGGAGCCCAGGCCGGGGAGAGTAGGTGGCACCTGGATCCTCTCCAGTCTACTAGGCTGCCTAAGAATGAGGATATGGCACCTCCTCCAGTTACAGGTCCCCCTGAAACAGGCCCATCCGGGACCCGCCCAGAGAAGTCCCCTTTTCTCCTGCTTTCTCCAATACCTGCACCACACAATGGGGCAGGTTGGCATCTGTTCTGTTGCTGTGTTTTGGATGCTCATCAATAGAGACCAAGTCAGGCCAGAGCCACTGAGGGGAGCCTGGCATTTTAGGGACTCTGGGACCAGCCTGGATTCTTCATCTGGCCCTGCTTGGGAAGGCCTCAGATATTTCCTAAGCTAGCTCTCTCCTTTCCTAGTGGCAACAACGGAGCCTGTCTTAATTGTGTCATTTTATTAAATACTTTGACTTTTTTTTTATTGAGCTCCAATTATGTAGGAAGCATCGTGCTAGGTACTTAGAACGTATAGGGTGACTAAGACAGACAGGGCCTCAGTGGAAAATTGCCGCGCTTTATTCCACCCACGTTATGGAGTGCCTGTTAGGATTAATAGGTTTTGAGGTACCAGGTGCTGTGCTGGGCATTTTCCTCACATGACCTGGGCACTCTCTACCATCCTATTAAGTGGCTAGTATCAGTGCCATTTTCCAGATGAGAAAACTGATGCTCAGAGAAGTTAAACTTCTGTCTAGGGTCACATAGCTATAAAGTAGTAGAACCATAAATCTGTGATTGCTGTGTGAGGCCCTGGGTTCTGTTCCTCCACTGCAAAATAAATACAATTAAAATAAGATTGCTGAAGAGAGATCGTACAGCAGGTAAGGTGCCAGCCTTGCATGAGGCTGACCCAGTTTCAGTCACCAGCCTGGCGTATGGTTCTGAGTGCCACCAGGAATGATCCCTGAGCAGAGTCAGCAGTGAGTTTTGAGTATAACCCAAAAGCAAAATAAGGAGGAGGTTGAGGAAAGAGGAGGAGGAAGGAGGAGGAGGAAGAAAACTAAGAAGAGGAAGAGGAAGAAGGACGTCATCATCATTATCTGTGGCTGGAGTGACTCTTGCCCAGGTTTGGAGGATGAGGGGGCACTAGTCACTCAAGCAGGAAGGACAATGATGGAATAGGTGGGCCCGAGAGCAGAGAAGCACCTTATCGTAGGGGAGCACTTCCCCAATAGCCGCTGTTGAACACGCCCTCCTGCACACACTTGACTGTTGAGACCCCCAGCCTTGACCACCTTGTCTCTCCTTGGAGCTCCAACAGCTCCCCTTCTCAACCCTGCACCCCCGTTCCCTGGCCATTGCTCATCCATCAGCCAAAGCTCGTCACAGGTAAGATCTCAGTCTCCACCTCCACCAGCCTGCAGGGACCCAGCCCTGCTCTCTGGCAGCAGGGTTTGCTGGGCAGAGACATGGGTGCCTGTTCCATAATGTAGCTGTCTCAATTTTCTAGAATGACCTTAACAAACTTCCATCACCTGTGCAGCTTAACCATCAGACATGTATTTTCTCTCAGTTGGGGAGGCAGAAAGTGCCTGGAGCCAGCAGAGTTGGCCTCCTCTGAGGCTTATCTTTGAGGGCCCACCTTACTGGCATCATTTTAATGGAATCATGCCTATGAAGACCTTAGTTCCAAATCCAGTTGCTTTCTGAATTATCTGGGGTTAAAGTTTCAACTTATGGATCGGGGACCAATTTATGTAGCTTTTAATGGCAACCATATAATATGTTATCTAAAATTTTGTTGGGCTGGAGTGATAGCACAGCAGTAGGGCGTTTGCCTTACAAGCGGCCAACATGACTGACCCGAGTTCGATTCCTCCGCCCCTCTCAGAGAGCCCAGCAAGCTACGGAGAGTATCTCGCCCGCACGGCAAAGCCTGGCAAGCTACCCATGACATATTCAATATGCCAAACACAGTAACAACAAGTCTCATGATGGAGACGTTACTGGGCCCGCCCGAGCAAATCGATGAACAATGGGAGGACTGTGACCATGACTGTGATCGTGAAAATTTTGTTTTAGAGTGAAAAGGGACTACTATAGATGATCATATTAAGGTTTAGCCTTCAGCTAATCATTCTGGGCAAACCAGAACTT